CTTAATTCAATGAGAAGAAAGATTTGTACTAATAGTGTTTGAGCAGGATATCCTGTCTGCTTCTTGTACTGTGGATAACCACTAAGAAGATAACAATATACAGTGTATTAATTATTGAAACTGTCCTATTAATCAGTTTTGAAACTGTCTCATTGATATGTTTCTCAATAAAAAAAATTAAAAATGGGCAAAACCCCCCACAGAGAACCAGCAATCAGATTGCCTCTCTGTAAGGCCCGGCAGCAAGGCAAGCTGGCATTGTTTAAACCGTGCCGAATCCTGTCCTGGCCGCATCACCGGAGGGCGTGCAGCAGCCCGACCTCTTTCACGGGAAGGGAGGCCCCTGACATGTGGATGTCCACCCCAGCACGACACCAGCCTCCTTTGGATCGGGACCCTGATAAACTTGTGATTGGTAGGGAAGAGCGGAGTGGGAGAGGGACGCAGGACCAGTGAAAAGTGAAAGCCGCCTTGCGGACAGGCAGGGAGGGGGCAGAAGAGGGGTCTATTCAGAGCACCTTGGGCTGGTTGTAGTTTCCTCCCGGCTTGTTGGAGAAGCATGGAATATTTTGGTAAGAAGAGGTGATTGCCCAAGAAAAGAGACAAAGAGAAAGAAAAAGGAAAAGGAAAAAACAAGAAGAGGGGAAACAAAGGGAAAGATGAAGAGGGAGGAAGGAAGAAAAACCTAGTGTGTGGGGGGCGGGTGGAGGAGGAGCGGGGCCTGCAGGCGCGGAGTGGCGCTCCAGTTCGGGTCTGGAAGGCGCGGGCTCCCGGGGCAGGAGGTCGCTGTTGGCGCCCTGGGACAGCGCAGGCGGCTGCGGCGGGGACTAGCAGCGGAGCGCTCTTCCCGCTGTCCCCGCCGGCCTGCAGCGCTGGCCCTGCCCGGGCCTCGGCTGCTTCCAGTCTTCTTCCCCGGGGTGTGTGGGGGTGTGGGATGTGCAGTGCGGGAGGTGGAGGTGGGCGCGGGGAGGAGATGCAGATAGACCATCTGCACCGATTTTTCTTAAAAGTTATTTTTTAATTGAAATACTTTTAAAGCAAAAGAGAAAGAAAAGGGGGAAAAAAGGAATTTGAATAAATCCCCAATTTAGGGTTTCAGTCCCTAAAAGTTTTCAGGGAGAAGCAGCGTGGGGGTTGGGGGCACAGCTGGAGCGAAACTGGCTGCACCCTAGACTCCTCCACCTGCCCGCGGCGCCCAGCTCATCACGCACCCCACGTACACGCGCGCTACCTCGGGGCGCCCCGTCCCGCCCCACCTTGAGACCCGGGCAGCCCTGGTCTCCAAAATCCCCAGACTCTTTGCCCTTCGCTTGGGTCCCCGTCCCTCCCTTTCTGGTTCCAGGGGTTGTTGGGGAAGGGAGGTGCGGCCGCGCCAATCGCGCCCGGGCGTCGCCCTCCTTATGTGAACTGGGTGAGGGGTGCAGCGCAGGGGGAAGCTCCGGGGCTGGCAGGTCGGACCTAGGCCCGGGGCCCGAACCCCCACCCCCACCCCCAAGGGCCGGCCCCACCTCTCTCCACCCATCTACCGGCCCAGTTTTCTGCTTCCCACCCGCGAGCAAGCTGGGGTGGTGGAGAGCTTTGGCTAGATTGGGGGAAGGAGCGGGGGGGGGGGGCGCACTGAACCGCACCCGTCTTGCTGCCAGGATGCCTGCGGCAAGGACGGGGGTGGCAGGTGAGGTCTGCAAGTACTTAAGAGTCAGGTGCTCGGCGGCGCCCAGGTTGGCGGGCGCAGGGCTCCACGAGGGTCAAAGCCCCAGCCGCCCTCCACGCCACCCCTCCCCCACGGCTCCAGATGCTCGAAGTTAGACGGGTGCGCGGCCACGCGAGCTGTCGGCGTGCGTGCGTGGGCGCGCGCATCAAGTAAAACCTCTCTGCCTCTGCCGCCTCCTTCCAGGACCCCCGCAGACCTGCGCTCCCAGTTCCTCTGCCGCCCCCAAGTTCCCCGCCCAGGTGTGTGCGCGCGCGCGTCTCGGAGCGCGCCCGGGTCTCCGCCACACCTTCTTCCCACTCCAGCCACCTCCAGGTCGCTGCCTCTGGCTGCTTCCCACCCCCGCCCCAGGGTCCTTGGGCGGACCTGGAGAGATTTGTGTTTCACTCCTGCCGGTTTTCAGAGCCAGAAGGAGATAAACGGAACCGTGAAGCAGTTTACTTTAAGCCTTTATTATTGTAGCTTGAACGAAGTTTATATACAGGGAACGTTACCAGCAATACATTCGCCCAATGACCTTTGAAATCAGGGGCCCTCCGCTCAGGACCCGCAGTCTATAGCTCCGCCTAGGAGACTCCGACCTCTGGATCTCAGGCTCTTCCCCCATCTCCCTTTCTCCGGACATTCCCACCCGAATCCGTTCCCCCTGGAGTTCTAGCCTCTTCTCGAGGCTTCGGACCTCGCCAGTGCCTCTCAAACCACCTCCTCCTGGTCCGGAAGAGACCCCCTCTCAGCCCCCTCCCCCCTTTATTGACCGGGGTCTCCTCTTGAAGTCCTGAGCACTCTTACCCTCTGGCTCTCAGGCACCAATTCGAGCCCTCTTGCAATTTCGGAACCGGCTCGTGGTCGAGACCAGTTAGAAACGGTTCGTCATCAGCAAAAGGGCTCGTGCGCGCCCAAAAATAAGGGGTAAGACTACCCTGCCCACCCTCTCCCTCCCTCCCTTCCGACCCCCCTCCCCCCAGCTCAGAGACAAGAAACAAACACGAAGGCAGCAGGGTTCCCTGCGCGCGACAGGTGGGTGCCAGGCAACTAGCACAGCCTAGAGCTGCTGGAACCCAGCTGCGCTCCCGGCGCGCGGGCGTGGCCAAGGTGTCTGCATTTGGAGATGCGCGCACCGCGCACCCGGCTGGCTGGCTGCGCGCTGGGGAGCAGGTGTACCAGAGTCGCGCGGGAGCCAGGCCTAGGGGCGCACAGGATTGGGTGCGCGCGCGTTGCCCCGGGACTCCTATGGGGATTTCAAGCCAGCCGGGCAGGTACAAGTGAGTCACGAGTCCTAAGGAGGCTAGTCTTAGTGGCTGAGTGCCAGACCCAGCCGGAGTTATGGCTCAGTGCATCTGTGTTCTTGGGTCTCACCATGCCCGACTTCGCTGCTGGCGCTTGCAAGGGGGCTTCCAAAGCCCAAGGCCCAGCCCACCAAGTTCAGGAAATTGTTCCTCCGTTATTTACAACCGGCCTGGCCGAGGGCCGTGCAGCTGCTCATCGTAGCGCTCCAGCCAGGTGCGCAGCTCCGAGACCTGGTAGCCATCAGGGCCTCGACCTCCCTGGTACATGATGGTACCACTCTGGATGACATAGAGGCGTTCAAAGTAGGCGCCATAGGCCGAGCTGCTGGAGTTGGTCATGGTGTCCAGGACCAGAGAACAGCCAGGCGCGCCTCTCTGCAGTACCCGAGCCGCGCTGACCCGGTCCTCCAAGCTCCGGTGCTGTGGGATGATGTAGGGGGAGTCTGTGGTGACCCAGCCGTCTGAGGGGTGGGCTTCTTCGATGTAGATGATGAGGAAATCAACGTCGCGCTGGTACTTGGTCACCAGGCGCTGGAAGGCGCTCATGCGCGCCATGAACGGTGGTCAGGTGCAGCTGCCGAAATTGAGCACCAGCGGGCGGTTCCCTTGCTCATAGTCCAGGATACGCTGACTCTGGAAGCCGTCGGGCAAGACCACTTCGGAGTTGGGAGCCGGCCCGCCCTCGTGCGCCTGCTTAAAGAAATCCAACTTCTGACCGTGCCACACGGCCTTGAGCGACGCCAGGGTACACAGACGGTTGTCGTCGGACACGCAGATGGGCGGGTCGTCGGGGGGCACCTCCTCACCGTCACTGTTGAGCTCCGCTTCGGGCTCGGACTGCTCCAGGCCACGGCGGCGCAGGAAATGCTTGCGGATGCACAGGAAGTCGAGGAGCCAGAGCATGAAGGCCGTGCCGAGGAAGCGCGGGAAGAGCACGAGGCACGAGGCGGTCTGGGCGCAGAGCCTCAGGGAGTGAAGCAGCAGGGAGCGGAGCATGGTGGCCGCGGGACCCGAGACCCCCTGGGACCCGTCGCCCTCTCCGACCACCAACCGCGAGGCGGCCTGGTGCGGCATCTGGGATTCTGCGTGCAGGGAGCTCAATTTATAGCCAAGGCTTCAATTGGCGGGAGACTCCACCTCCGGCCCGGGCCCGCCCCCTTGCAACTTGAGCCCGGAGGGATCTCCCAGCCGCGCGGCTATTGCCCGGGAAATCGCGGGTCGAGGGCGGGCGCGGACAGGCAAAGGGCGGAGCGGGGCGGCCGGGGACCAGCGAGGGCGGGCGTACGCCCGGCGGTCCGTTCACGGGGGCGGGGGATCCGGGCGCCACCGCCACCGCCGGGGGCTGGGAGCCTGGTCGGCCCGGCCTGGGCGTCCGTGTGGAGGTCCTGCAGCTGGCGCCGCTGCCTCGCGCCGCCCCGGTCCCAGCCTCTGGTGCCGCGCACCTGAGCCGAGTTCCCCGGCGACCGCCGCACCGCGTCGTAGCTCCGGTTCGCTTCCCGCGCGCCGCCGCCAACGCCGCCGCCGCTCGTGCAGGGTCGCTGCCCAGGTACTGCGCGAGCCTGGACCCGCGGCCGCTGCCGGGATGGCCTCGGCTCCTGCCCTGCCCCTCCGGGGACGCGGGTCCGCAAGGAGCAACTTTGGGTTTCTGCTGCCAGCCCAGCTCTCCGGCGGGCGCCGCTCGCCCGCCCGAGCCCGTCCGCCCGCCCCCCGCGCGCGCTCACACTCGCGCCTCGCACACGGC